CTTTATATCATGGGTTGCACATTAGACCAAGTGATACTCTATATTTAAATGGCTATTTCAGATGCAGATTAGACTAGCTATCCAAATGATAGACATTCTATAGGAGGCTACACTGTTTTTCTTGGTCCTACCTTAGTGTCTTGGCAATCCAAGAAGCAATATCCCCAAGATCAATCAAACATTGCGGGATATAACATTTTCATCCTTTTTTCTCAAAAATTTTGTAAAATATGAATCGACCCTCATTTTCAAGTATACAAGACGGGTACAAGAAAAAGATTTAAAAATTTAAAAAGTGCAAATGAGTTCCAATTAAAACATTTAAAAATTTCTCTTTCTTCTTCAGCCTAACCCAACTACTTTAATTGTTTAATTAGGACTTCTTTGCAATTTTTCAAAATTTTGGGACTGTAATCAAATTAATTCTTCTTTTTATTTTTCTTCGTTGATTTTTAAAGAGATGTGCAAATGCACCATTTTACAAGACTTTATGAAGAAAGTAGATGAAAATATTGTATTTTGCAAGGTTTGATTAGTATTGAGGTTTTGCACCGGGAGCTCTTCGATATCTCACTATACTAGACTTGATATCACTTTTGCTATGAACAAGTTGATTCCGTTTCTTCAACATCTTATAGGCATTCATTGTCAACTAAGATTCGTGTATTGAAGTATCGAAAAGTCACTTTATATCATGGGTTGCACATTAGACCAAGTGATACTCTATATTTAAATGGCTATTTCAGATGTTGATTAGACTGGCTATCCAAATGATAGACATTCTATAGGAGGCTACACTGTTTTTCTTGGTCCTACCTTAGTGTCTTGGCAATCCACGAAGCAATATCCCCAAGATCAATCAAACATTGCGGGATATAACATTTTCATCCTCTTTTCTCAAAAATTTTGTAAAATATGAATCGACCCTCATTTTCAAGTAAACAAGACGGATACAAGAAAAAGATTTAAAAATTTAAAAAGTGCAAATGAGTTCCAATTAAAACATTTAAAAATTTCTCTTTCTTCTTCAGCCTAACCCAACTACTTTAATTGTTTACTTAGGACTTGTTTGCAATTTTTCAAAATTTTGGGACTGTAATCAAATTAATTCTTCTTTTTATTTTTCTTCTTTGATTTTTAAAGAGATGTGCAAATGCACCATTTTACAAGACTTTATGAAGAAAGTAGATGAAAATATTGTATTTTGCAAGGTTTGATTAGTATTGAGGTTTTGCCCCGGGAGCTCTTCGATATCTCACTATACTAGACTTGATATCACTTTTGCTATGAACAAGTTGATTCCGTTTCTTCAACATCTTATAGGCATTCATTGCCAACTAACATTCGTGTATTGAAGTATCAAAAAGTCACTTTATATCATGGGTTGCACATTAGACCAAGTGACACTATATTTAAATGGTTATTTCAAATGCTGATTAGACTGGTTATCCAAATGATAGACATTCTATAGGAAGCTACACTGTTTTTCTTGGTCCTACCTTAGTGTCTTGGCAATCCAAGAAGCAATATCCCCAAATTAATCAAACATTGCGGGATATAACATTTTCATCCTTTTTTCTCAAAAATTTTGTAAAATATGAATCTACCCTCATTTTCAAGTAAACAAGACGGATACAAGAAAAAGATTTAAAAATTTAAAAAGTGCAAATGAGTTCCAATTAAAACCTTTAAAAATTTCTCTTTCTTCTTCAACCTAACCCAACTACTTTAATTGTTTAATTAGGACTTGTTTGCAATTTTTCAAAATTTTGGGACTGTAATCAAATTAAATCTTCTTTTTATTTTTCTTCTCCTTTGATTTTTAAAGAGGTGCAAATGCACCATTTTACAAGACTTTATGAAGAAAGTAGATGAAAATATTGTATTGCGCAAGGTTTGATTAGTATTGAGGTTTTGCCCCAAAATAAAATATTGGGGTTGTAATGCAACAAAATATGTAACGGTTAGCATTGTATTACACCTAATGAAAATGGTTATAATGGAACCCAAATGTTACAAAAATAAAATTTTGGTGGCTGAGGTTGCCAAAGTATTATATTGGAGACCTACTTGCTACATATTTTGAATAGGCAGGACCTCATCTCTAATTTTTTACATAAACATTTGGTTAAGGTTTATAAAAACGTAAAAGATAATTTAAAAATAACTTTTTTTATATTTAAAAAATAAACTGTTTTCTTTTCAACTTTTAAGTAATAAAAATTGATTATTCTAAAAGTAACTATTATTCAAATTAAATTTTTGTTTGAGCAGCTATTGCACCTTGTCCTTTGTAGAAGCTTGAATAGCTAAATTTACTTGTGCGCTCTGACAAATAGAAAGACTTTGAAACACTACTTTAATTTTCTATTATCAAGTCCTAACATTTTCGTAAACATATTTTGTTGGGAATTTACTTAAACATGCACAGCGGAATTTAACAAGTTTCAATTCTCATTCAGGATTCAGCTTTGTATTTAGATAAAAACTGTGATAAGAAATATACCTTTACTTGTGATTTGCAAACTCTTTCGCGTTATTCCTTTTCAGCAGCTTGAATCTGCCTCCCACAGCTGTCCAATTGTCCAGCCTCCAATGTAATCCACACAGAGAATAGACTGCAACGGCTAGGGTTTCTCTTTTGTGCCAGCAAGAATAATGAAAACATTATGGACCTCAAACCCTAGCTGTATATATATATAAACCCAAACGGACTCGACCCGGTCCGGTCCAATATTTAATTAATCCAATTAATTAAACCCGATCCGTGAATTAATTAATCCAATTAATTAATTCGGGATTATAAATAACAAATTCAATTAATTAATTTATTCAACGATTGTTAAATTAATCAATTGACAATTTGCAGTCTTCCAATTCTCTTTTGTGTGTGACCCATTAGGTTCCCGACCACGATGTCTGACGTCGTGAAATATTATTTTGATCTAATCAAAATTGATAAATTAATACACCCTTTTAATTTATCGCCAATTCACATTCGCCGTCCTTGATTGACATCTAGCAATGTGTCAGGGCAATACATGTGACGGGAAATGTCACGTGGTATGACAAAACCAAATTCGTTCGTTTACCGTGGAACTATTATCCCTTCGTCAATACGATCCGATCAATTACGAGATATGAAATTGTGTCAATCTCGATCATTGATCATATCTTTCACTCCACTATTAAGTCAATATAAATCGAAAACTCCTTTTCGACTTATGAGTACACCTTGGCCAAGGATTTCATCATCGACTTAATTGAATGAAACGCAGATCATAATCTCCTGCTATCTAAGAGTGACGAATCCTTTATTGATCAATCACAACTTTCATACGATTCTTGACGTACCCGAACGATGTCGCGGCCCCTTTCAGAGCAACATCCAACACTGCCAAAGTATGACTGTCCTCATATAAGGTATCATGACGACCTCAAGTCAAAGGACCAATTCCACTACCGAACGTTAGAGATTAGCCACTGACACTCAGATAATTATCCATGTGGAATCTCTTAGCGGGTCTCCAATGTTTTGTTCTATAACAAAATATCCACGTGTTCATTTAAGTGTCACCACACTTTAGCTCGTGAGATCAGCTACTTACTTCACAATTAAGAAATGCCACACATGATGGTCTAACTGTATTAACGATATCCGTATCTCGTTATTACTTACGACCATGGTTTATTCAAGATCCAATTACATGTAATTTGTATCTCACAATCACAACTCCTTGTGATTAACAGATTACCTAAAAATTGGATTTTCGGATTCTATTATTTAATATTATTTATTACAAAATTAATTTAAATAAATAATAGATCTCGCCAAAATCAAATGCATTAAATATATTAAAAGCATTTACAACCTAAATCGATTGGATTTAGGGCATAACACTTACATATTTGACGTGTGAACCTCACTTGAAGGACGATTTCATTTCTAAGGACTACAACGACAATAAAAGGTGGGTAGGTGGCACCCATTAAATTAAATTTAGATAGGACGATTTTACAAAAATTATAAGTTTGTTCATTTAACATTGCAAACCTACCACATCTTAGTCACTTAAAATGAAGTGATTTCACTTTTCCGCTTTGTGTGATATTGACAAGTCAACAGCCATCCACTATCTGTATATAATGGAAAAATAATGGTAAGTTCGCCTCCCGGGGTATAGTTCAGCGGTACAAAGGACAAGAGTGAAGTTAACTCACGCCTTGTTGGCAACCGCAGTGTGGGGGTTCGATACCTGAAACATGGAATTAGACTCCTTGTAGGCACAGTGTACAGATAGCTCTTGTCCCCTGGTCTGCTGAGGCACATCCCTCGATTTACCTCCCTCACAAAGCTCTAGGGGTGGGGCGATGGGGGCCTTCAAGGTTGGGGTTCAACTTTTTTTTTTTTTAATTAAAATAATGGTAAGTTCTATTTATAAGTGACCCTCTGCACAGGTTATACAGCTAGTCACCAACTTTATACATTAGTAGAAAAAATCAATTAGGGTGAGACCTCTCTAGTTCACGTTGATTCTCAATAGAATCGTACTGAATCAAGAATCAATGGAAATCTTATAAATGGAACTATTGGTTTCAAATGAACTTGTTACACAAAAATAAGACTAAAATTTGCGTTCTATATAAGACTAAAATTCCATAATTTACCGAATCAAACACGTTAAAAAGTTTGATACATTTCGAATTTTTGATCCAGGTACTAGAACCGAGAACCTGAGTCAATCGGCCAATTCTTGATTCTGATACCCGAACTATTTATATCTTTCCCACCTTCGTTGTCCCCTCAAGATTCAATGGAAACACAGGGACAATGTGCATATTTTCATTACCTACTGCATCCCCTTCTACAGTTGTTACATTCCATACATATGCAGGGACTAATAAAATTTCTTGCTAAAAAGGAAAAAGTAGAAAAAGAGGCACCAAACCATCATAAAAGGCCATCTAGCTACTCTTTTGAAATCCAGTACATGAACACATACCCAAAAAAATAAAAAATAAATCATAAAATCTGTCCAAATTCGAAATTCTTCACATAGCTGTCATAATATAGTGCTATAATGTTCAATCTACAAGCAGGAAGAAAGAAAAAAGAATTGTCGAGAACGAAAATAAGAGTTTATGATATATAACCCCACCCTCCATAGCTGTCCCTCGAATTCGAAATATCATCTCTTGTTTTGGCCGAGTGCATCAGTCAAAATCTAATCATCAAAGCTTGAAATTTACCGGCCAAGACAAAATATTTACCCCAATTTCTCACCCCACCAAACAAGCATCATTAATACCAACGCTGCGTGTTAGCACCACTGTTGCTCAATCACATTATCTAACACACAGTGCGTTGAGAAGCACGTGGCCAAGCATTAGGTCGACGAAGTATTGGTGCCCGATCTGGCCATCCCTCCACTTCAATTTTGCAGGAGCCCGTCCGTAGTGCACCCCATCGTTGCACCGGTTATCATAGTGCCATGGATAGGTCATATCGAAATCATCAATCACTCGATCAAGAACTCCATATTGCCTTAACTTTTCCAGTACTACCCCATTGAAGGCCTCCATTTTATGAGGATTAAATGCAAGCCTTCTAGCATATCCACCCGTAGTTACTGTAGTCCTGTATATGATTTCTGGTGGCTTGAGTCCTCTTTTCCTCACCCCATTGACTATCTCGGCCCAAAATGATGCTGCATAGTCAGCCCCCTTTATAAATCTCCGGATATTAGGCCAAAATACTCCATCATGTAAGCCTGAATTCATTATCACAGAGTTAGGAACAGCATTTCCTGAAAAGTAACCCTTCAGCAATTCTCTGTACTCTGCATTAATTAATGAATTCAAGCCCTGATAATTGCCGGTAGCATTTGGATTACCATTGAAAATACTTGTGAACCGGACCATCTGAGAGGGATTTTTCGGATTAGTGATGTTCATATCAAATCTTCTTGGAACAGCCTCAATATCATGGACGTCCAAAATGAAGCGCAGGATGTTACGAATAGTGTCACAATGATTTGAATCCCCCCACCAGAAAATCCAGTGATTGCTCAAACAATTCCAAGCTTCTTCGCTTGAAAACATCTTGAATGAACAATGGGTTGAATATATCCACCCATTACTTTCCAGCACACCCAAAGGACCATTGCACCATGGATGTTGGCACGGAAAATTAGGATTCAGACATCTATATCGCCCATCATTGCTAATTTGACATTTGTCATTCCTTGCATGACGAGTCCATCGCCCAGACCAAACATCCCTATTGTAATCAGACTTCTTGCATTGCATCATTTCCGGTAATTTGGCAGAGGATTTTAGAAATTTGATTGGGATCACACGGAGAACCCTGTCAAACGCAAATCTTTCAGGTGAAAATTTCAATCCTTCATAATGTCGGAACAAAAGGATTATGGTCAGATTGAAATCTCCTGTAAAATCAGGATGGACTTGAAGCGAGAACCTATAAGTGCCATTTCCAAAGTCCTTAATGGGAGGCCTAGTCTTCCATGATTCCCCCGAGATATCAGTTTCAAAATAATCACCACCCAAACAATGTGGCTTCCCTGAGTCATCTAATGCTTGGAAAACAAACTCATGGATATTACCAGTTAACAATTCAATTTTGTCATGACCATCCAAACCTGGAATACTAATGTCCACAGTTTTCGAATCCCTGCAAGGCTCACCCCCCGGGGCCAACCAATTACCAAGAAGCTTTGATGAATAATTCGCCTCTAGCTCTGATGTAATCCAATCCAGAATTCTCGTTTCAGAAGGGCGGCTATTCAAACCCTCATCCTCAGAGGTTGAATTTTGTTGGTTTTTGTCCAAATTAACTGGTGCAGGAGCAATTTTAGGACCAAAATTTTCATGGGTTTGTACCAAGCTTTGGTTATTTTGGTTTTCCTGGTAAGGTTTTACTAATCGGGGCTCCACAGAAAGATTTTTAAAGCTTAAATCGTCATGGGTTCGTGACAAATTTCCAGAACTATTGAATTTCAACACAACAAAACTTTTCTGAAAAGTATTCACATTCAACCCATCAATGGTCCACACAACAAAGATTCCAAGAAATACTAACATCACTAGCACCTTGAACCACCAGTGAACCAGGGGGTTTGACCTCAAAATCCATGAAAATTTTGAAGCTTTCTCAGGCATTTGAGAAGACATAACCCCAACAAAACAACCTAACAAAATTCAAAAAATAAATAAAAATTCTAATAAAAGAAATATTCCCATAAAATAGAGTTGGCAAGCACATTATCTAGGAAAAATAAAACAATAAAATTGTACGAAACTTACTGTGTAGATTCAATATCTTTCATAGAGCAGGCAAATGAAAAGTTAACCAAGCTTGTCTCTCTGCAGTCCAAAATATCATATATTTTGGTTACAGAGAGAGGGCCAGGGTAAAGGGAGAAGGATAGAATTGAAAGTGTTTATGGTGAAACAATAAGAAGAAGAAGAAGAAGAAGAAGTAGTAGTAGTGAAAAAGAAGAGCTCATTTTTTTATTTCCATAAATGCCATTGACGAAGCTTTAAAATTGCCACAAGGGTCCAAGGCAAAAAGAATGGTACGAAACCGACAAACATTCAAATAATAGAAAAAATTTGGGTGTGGGATTATGACCGAGTAATGTGGGCAATTTTGGCATTGTAGTTGATATGCATGGCTGTCCAAGGACGCGGTGCCACGTGCTCGAACATGACCACTTTTGGTTAATTTTGATAAATTGTCAATCGAAGTATGTTTCACACCCAATATACCCACGATGAGGGTTCATCTAAGAATCATGTTATTTGTACATATTATTTTACACTTTGAATTACCTGACCTCACCTCTTCGTTTCATATGGGGGTCGGGCCCCCACGTCGTGGTCCCACGTGGGACCCGACCCCATGTGAAAAGAGGAATGGGATCGGGTAAATCAAAGTGTAAATCAACAAATACAAATAGCTTAATTCTTCATTTAATCCCTATCAATGTGTAATTGATATCTACACTAATAATTGAGATTTATTATTTAGCCCCCCTCGCCTCCATTTTAATTTTGAGTAAATAACACAAAACGTCTTTACCTTTTAATATTATTGTGTAAAACGTCCTTAACTTTCATTATTTTTTGCACTTATTTCTACCTTTCATGGAAAAATGTCATTTTCATTCATTTTTTCAATAAAAAGATTATTTTACCTTCATATTCAAATAAAACAAAAGGGAATGAAATGAAAGGCTATCTAACTAATTGCAACAATAGTCCCAAAATTACAAATTAATCATAAATATATAATTAAAAATCAAAACTAAAAAAACAAAAATCATTCATCTTCTTCCTCTTGGCTACTTAATGACCATTTTAAGGCAGTCCAATGTTCTGGGCCATGGTTATCCATAAATTTGCTCAATGTACTAATTAATGGCACAAGCTACATCAAGTTTAGAGCACACCATGGTATACATAAACAGACCAAACAGCTTTGCATATAGAACTTTTGTATATATTTGATATGAGATTCATCAAGAGGATACTGATCTTTTAAAGTTGAAATGACTGGTAAGAGGTAATGTAATAGAACTGGACTTATACACGGCTATTTAGACAATACCTTTTTAACGTAGTTAGACTGAGTTAAAATAAGAGTTTGCTGAGATCTATTTCTCCTAATGTCCATCCCTAAAATTCTTCTAGCATGGTCTAAATCTTTTATCTCAAATTTAGCACTTAGAGATCATTTAATGTCATTAATATCACTTAGATTTTGTCTTATTAACAACATATGATCCACATACAAAAGCAAATAAACAATCACAGAGTTACTCTCATTCGTTTTAAAGTAAAGATAATGATCAAAAGAACGTCTCATAAAGCCAGCAACTGACATAAATTTATCAAATCTCTTATACCATTATTTTGGTGATTTTTCTAGCCCACATAAAGATCTTTTTAGTAAACAAACATATATAGGCTTTTTATTATCAATGAAGCCCTATGGTTGACAAATATAGATAGTCTCATCTAAATCACAATGTAACATGATAGTTTTGGTATCCATTTGTTCAAGTTCTAAGTCATATTAAGCAACCAAAGCTAGTATGACTCTTATGATAATATATTTAACAATAGGTGAGAAGATTTTATTGTAATCAATGCTAGGTTTTCCCTTACCAACTAATCTGGCTTTAAATCTAAGTGGCTGTTTATAAGAAATTTCCTCTTTAATGCTATAAATCTACTTACAATCTACAAAGAACTCGTTTTCGAGTTTAGGAACTAATTTCCAAGTATTATTCTTCGAAAGGGATTTTATTTTTTCTTCCGTAGCAAGTTGCAACGCTTTAGAAAGTCGACAAATCACAGCCTCTTTATAAGATTTAGGCTCTTCAAAGGCTAAATCTTGAAAAGATAGGATAGCAATGGATGTAATCTCTCGTCCTAGCAAGTTCTCTTATTTTTCGCCTAGTTCTATCCTTAGCTATCTGATAATCTCCCAACGAGTTTTCCTAATCACCAACAACTTTGGGATCATGTTTTCATCAATTTCATCAGAGTCAAGGTTAATTTTAGCTCGATTTTCATGTTCATTGTCATTAATGAGATCAAGGGAGGGCCTAAACTCTACCTACAACCTGGCCTTCTCATTAGTTTTAACCACAGAAATGCCATCAAGGGATATTTACTAATACAAGGCACTTTAGTTTCATTAAATGTCACACCTTTGCTAGTAATCATCTTAAAACTTTTAGTTTCTCTTGCCCCAAGCTTATACCCTTTCATCCTATTAGGATACCCCATAAATATACACTTTTTGCGATCCAAGCTCTAGATTGCCTATACTCTAATGATAGTAGGCAGCACAGCAAAATGTTTTTCGATAGGTATAATCAACCACGTTGCCAGGACATACCTCCATATGGATTTTCCCATCTAAGGAACTAGCAGGAGTTCTATTCACAATATATGCTGCATACCTGTACTTATCATCATACATCTAATTGTGTCTAAGATGGTCCTATTCATCCCCTCAACATCACCATTTTGCTGAGGGGTGTAAGGAAGATTTTATGCCTAAGGATCCCATCATCTTTATATAGTTAATCAAATTCAGTATTGCAAAATCCTTGAGCATTGTTTGTTCTTAAAATTTTAATCTTTTCGCCAACTTGATTTTCAATTAAAGTTTTCCAAGTTTTAAACTTTTCAAAGGTGTCAGATTTATATTTCAAAAGAAATACCCAAATTTTTCTTGAAAAATCATGAATTAATGTTAGAACATACCTATTTCCACCTTGAGTGATGGTAGACGAGGGATCCTATAAGTTAGATTGTATATATTCCAAAACAAATGAACTTTTATGTTTCCCACCATTAAAATGAAGCCTCTCTTCTTTGCCTAAAGTGCAGTAGTCATAGAAGGAACTTTATAAATAACATTTGTACTAAATGTCTTCTTTAAACTTAAATTGTGCAAGCCTTTTACTTTTACATGTACAATCCTATTGTGCCACTTTAGAGTAGCATCAACTTCGCACTGATGTGTGACTCAAAGCAACATTAGCTTTATTGACGTGTATACCATTTATTTTGTTTCATTCAAAAATGACAATTGAGTCCTCGATCAATTTAAGACGGTCATTTTCAAACCTGCCATGTAGGCCTATATGATCTAGACTACCTATTGAAATTAAGTTTCTATTTTTAAATCAATAACATACTTTACAGCTTCAAGAGTAAATTTGTATCCAATTTCAAATTTTAAATTCACATTACCAATTCGCTTAACCCTACAGGCTGCATTACTAACCATCACAACCTCTTCCCCATCTACATCTCTATAGTCTTCTAACCAAATTTTTCTGGAGGTCATGTAAAAGGTCAATACTAAAACTAAAACATCTTCCAAGAAGGAATAATTTGTTGGATAAAGACCTAAATGAGATAAAGTTAATCTAATTTGTCCCACAAAGCCTTAGCATTATCGTGCTTGCCTACTTTTCTTAATACTTGATTAGACAAATCGAGAATAATAGAGATATAGGCAAGTTCATCAAATTCAGTTATTTGATCAGTAGTCATATTTACAAGAAAATCACCAGTAATTGCCTTCAAAACTTTCTGTTGAACAAGGACTCCTCTCATTTTTTGTTGCCAAATGGGGAAATTTCATTTTCCATTAATATCTCTAAGTTCAAATGTAATAGTTGTTATTTGAAGTTTTTTAATCTACACTAGAAAATTGGTTGAAGTTTAGTGCTTTGCAAAAACAGTAGATATAAAATACTATCTGAAAACATATAGAGTCACATAAGGTATTAAGTATCAATCAAATTCAAGAGGAAACAAATAAAGTGAGCCAATGTAATAACAGAGTAATGACAGTTAAAAAAATCTTCAAGTTCTAAATGTTCAAATTCACCAAGATTCCATAAGGCTTAAGATCTCAGGTCAAGGCTCAATTCAAACACAAGAAACAAGAATATCATGGAACAAGAAGTGTATGTATATGTTAGAGGTCAACACAAACTATACTAAAAATTAGGGTACCTGGAAGGAGAATACAAAAACCACAGTTTTGTATTTACAATTTGTCCACAATTTCGAGAAATAGCAAAGTGATCCTAGGGTATCTCAGATCACTCCAAAGAATACTAAGATCTGAACCTTTCACGGTTTCACCCAAGATTCAATCAATAAAATCTCCAAAGAACTAGTTATTCGTAAAATTCTTACCAAGAATCCACCACTAGAATATAAGATCCATTAATAACAGGATCTAAGGTTTCCTCAACAATGATAAGATTTGGTTATGAAATTTAATTTTTCACAAATAAATCAAGATCAAGGACCAGAAACAAATAAACAAAGCTATGATACCACTGTTATACCAAGAAATCGAAAAACCAAAATGCGAGTAGATCCTTTCTAACAGATTTTTGAACTCTAAATAATCAATGGCATAAAAGTATCAATCTATTTCAAACTCAAAAAATTGTACCCTTCTATACAAAGGTAAAGCTTCAAAGAATGAATTGTAGCAACCACAATTAACCAAAGACACTACATAGATATTAACCCTTTCCCTTCACTCTAAGAATCACTTAGACTTAATATTTACAAAGAACAACCTAAAAAATAGAGTTTTGAGATAACACCAGAAAAACAAAGGATGCGGAGATAATCCAGAGAGATCTACATAAAAGATAAATGAAAAGTGAAGAGTCTTCGGGGTGGACTCTGCAAAGGGAGGAACTATTAGAATTAGAAGAAGTGTTCAAAGAAATGCAGACGCCGCAAAGGGTGGAACTGCTAGATTCAAAAGAAATATATATTTTTGGAGACACCACAAGGGATGAAGCAGACATCAAAGAGGGTAAATCTGCTAGATTTACAGGAAACATTAGATGTACAATAATCAAGTGAAAAGAAGTCTATTAGCACAATGTAAAATTCTTGGCGAACAGATATGCATCAAATAACACTAGATGAAATTAAGCCAAGTAAACAAAAAGCGATTGAGGTACTACAAATTTACA